TTAAAACCATGGTATCGGACATCTGAAATGATGTATTGGAAACTCGGCCATTTCTCTCACTTCCTATCTCACTTCCTACCTCACTTCCTACCTCTTCATTTGCCTGCCAATGCTCGTCACACCTATCGCAGCGCTGCTCTGTCTCATCGGATTCTCCACAATATTGCCGTGGATAGCCATCTAAATACTCGTCTAGTATGACGCGTCGGCAGCTATCTCGAGACATATATCGGTCAAGCCTTGCTTGCTCAGCCTGTGCTTTCACGGGGTCTTCATGAATCGGGTCCCATTTTGGCCGTAAAAACCTAGCGGGTTGTATAATAATGGCCTCACTACGATGCCCGTCTCGGCCAGCACGGCCGCTCTCTTGCGCATAATCCAATAAGCTGCGTGGCAAGCTAATGTGAATTATACTGCGAATATTGGGTATATCAACACCCATGCCTAGCGCGCTAGTAGCTGCCACTACCCCGGTTATATCGGCCTGAAAACGGGCTAGTACGCCATTGCGATCGATGGTACGGCTGTGATATGCCTCACATTCGACTAACTCGGCTAGTTTCTCGACAGTCTTGGTGGTGGGCCCGTAAATGACCACCCGGCCGGTCTGAGCACGCGCGCGCGTAATACGATCTCTAATAAATCGTACGATCTCGGGGTTCTCTACCCAATCGTAGCTATTAGCGTATCGGCTTGGGTTCGGCACCGTAGGCTGCCATAGCCGGTAAGCGACATTCATGCGATGGGTGCGAGCTCGAAATAAATGGACCTTCTCTCGCGACGTACGTAGCCGTTGAAATAGCTGGTTTTCGGCCGTCGGTGGCAGCGTGGCAGTCAAATATATCATCTGAGCCTGAGCCACGAGCAATCGACCTAATTGAGCCATGGCGGGCCTAAAATGGGTCTGATCATTTAATACCACGTGGCATTCATCGATCACAATGCGATCTAGCCGATGACATAGCCGCTGGCGGTTCAAAAATGTCATGAAATCCTCCGTAATAGCTGATTCCGGCGTCACGAGTACAATCGATGCCTGGTCTGCCGGCCGACGGCTCTCCCACTCCACGCATGAAATGCCGAGCCGCCGGCATCGATATACCATGTCTCCCCGTAATGCAATTAATGGCACGACCACCACCGTCACCCCACGGGGGCTGATCCACGCGGGTAGCATGAAAAGTAAGCTTTTTCCACCCCCGGTGGGCATGACGGCCACCACCGGGCTCTGGCCTTGTTGAATCGCTGCTAACGCCGGTGCCTGCACCCCTCGGAGTTGAAGCTCGCTATTTCCTAGCATTCGCTGTATCTCGGGCTCTATAGCTGCCTGCGTCAATTGCCAGCGACGCTCCGTACGGCCGATCTCGGCTTCCTTCTGCCATGGTGAAAACTGGGCCATTCCTAACGCACTCTCGGCCCCGCCGTCATCCGTGGACATAAAGCCTAAAAATCGATGCCAGTCGGTGCTACTAAGCCGAAACATCTCACGCCGGTGGGCCGTCGTACCGGGCTGCTCGGTGATGCCACGGCCGTAGATCATGCCGGCCACGTGGGATGAATGGGCCGCCTGGAGGTCAGCAATATGCCCCATCCATTGCTCAGCATTCATGCCGTCTTCGTCATCCTCTTGTGAAGCATCGGCCCTTGCATCCTGCTGCGTATTATTGGGAAATACGCTAGATGGCCGCATAAAGCGACGGCTAATGCCGATAGCAATATCTCGGTAAGCATTCAAATTGATCGCTTGCCCATTAAGCCCAATGGTGGTCTCCCGTTTTAAGACCTCACGGAGTCTCTCAGATGACCAAGCTCGGCTAGTGCCAGGATCCGGACCCCAGAGGTAAGCCTGACGCTGCCTACTTGCCAAAATTAGTAAAAATCATGAAGAAATTGAAGAAATTGGAAATTGAGAAATTGGAAATTAAGAAATTGGAAATTAAGAAATTGAGAAATTGAGAAATTGAGAAATTGAAAAAACTCACCTCTTGATCTCTTCCACGCCGTCCGATCTCCGCACCTTCGCTACGTACGCTTCCAATCGTCGTATAAATGGCAATACTAGCCATAAATAATGGACCACAAGCTCGCCTACTTCCCGGGGTAAATAGCGATGAATCACCTTCGTATCATTAGATGCGTAAAACCCCTTGTGGTATTGTGAGACGAAGGTTACGAGCCCGTCCTCAATAAATATATTGCGACGGCCCCCGCTATCGGTATTGCAATGCCGAATGCTTAATAGCTCTGGCGCTCGAGCCGGCTGGCCACCACTCACGTGAATAGCAATAGCAAGCTTCTCACGGAAATGCGCTACCCGTTGAAGGTATACGTCAATTGCTGCCATCCGTAGCCGACCGGCACTACTCTCGATAAATCGCTGCCGTACGGGGCCGTGCTGCCGGACCCGAGAGATCAGCCATTGCTCACCGACCACGGGCCATGGCGTACGGGTGTCATTTAAAAATTCCACCCGTGAGCTGTCTCCGTGGGATCGTCGTAAATTGCCTGCCATGGAATAGCTGGAACGGACCCATTTTCGACGAATAATAGCTCATTGTGAAGGATTTGGCGTGCCGAGGTTGTAAGCCCGTGGATGAACCCACGGAAGTCACCTATTGAGAAATTGAATTGCTGGTAAAGTAGCTGGTCCTGATTCATCCAGCCGACGTGGCCCGTAGTGGTGCTATTGTAATGGATCTTTAAGCCGTACGTCCGTAGATCTAATAGCCATTGAATTGGACTATTAGTTCCACGGACCATGAATTGGCTTACCATCTCAGCCACCCACTCTCGAAATGATCGCTGGGTCTGCCGAGCCTGGGTAAATTGAATAAATTGCGATGACTGCGTCGGTGGCAGAACTGGGCCATTTTCAAAATTGAAAAATGGATCATCTGATGTCTGAAATTCAGGCGTATCGAGTGGACTCTCGGTATCCCAATCCCCTGCCATTTGATGCTCCGCTAGCTGATATAGCATTGCCTCAGCCGTGGAATCCAATTTTAATGCCTTGTGGACTACCATGAATCGTGCAATTTTAATAAGCTTCGATAAAATCGGAGGATAGCTCTCTGCCGTACGCCAGCCTGTCTCACCGCGACCGAGCACTGCCGTGGCACAAATCAGCGCGCTCTCATAGTCCTCGACCTTAATTCGATGATTCAGAAGCTCAATACAAAAATTGAGACACGCTAGATCAATAGCAGCAAGCTGGAACGGAGAATCGGTGCTATTTTGCTGATTCGCTAGCGATTCGCTAGCAATTCGCTGCGTGGGATGATCCTCGGTGTCACTCTCTGAATGCTCGCTATTATCGCCTGAACTAGCCGTGGCTGAACTAGCCGTGGTTGAACTAGCCGTGGCCAGGCTAGCTGACCTAGCAATGCCTACGCTAGGTGATGCGCCCGGCTGAGCCAGTTTCCAAAGCGAGTTCCACGCGGCTCGCTGGCGCCTAGTGAATTTGTAATTTGGACTGGCCCATTCGTGCGAGGCCTGCGTACGAGTGAAAAACATCAAAATTTGCTGCCACGGTATGGTATGTCTCTCGATATTATCGGCATCCATGTAAGCTTGTAATGGCTGGTGCGGCAGTCGGTCACGCTCCGTCCGTACGGCCTCGGTGCGAATTGTATGGCTAGTTTTCGTACAAATCAACTGGCTAATTCTCGCGACGGCGGCCATTGCATCCCATATAGCGCTTGCCGCCATTTCCGTCGGATCGGATGAATCGACCTCGGGTGGTTGGACGCAGTCAATAAGGTGCTGTGGGTCGATTCCACGGAGGTAGACGGCCCACCGCGTACGACGGAGCCATGGATTCGCGTCATCGCGCTCGCCAGCTTCAATTAGCTGGGGTAGCTCACTTTCCTCTTTGAAAGCTAGTTCGATTTCATCAATAAGCCGGTCGCCGACCTCGGTCGCGGGCATTGAATCGGTCTCGGCAATGGCCTCCGCCCCGAGCGTACGCACCCGAATATAATGAGATCCTGGCCCCTGGATAAATGCGCGCTGGCATCTTACGACGCGGGTAAATTGCTGAATTTGCTGCTCGGCCGCCGATAAACCTTGCTGCCGCCGACGGCCGCTATAGTGAGCCGGTGCGACCCAACCATGCTGCTCACGCCAATGCTTACGTATAGTGCTAGCTTTCCTAGCGATAAATTGACAAAACTGACCCTTTTCGCATAAAATGCCATCCGAAAAAACTGGCAAATTAGCAATTGGGTCATTTACCGCGGTCGGAGCTTGCCATTCATCGCATTCTTGCGCGCGCTCGGAGGTCTGAACAGCTTTAGCAATTTGGCGTGCTTTCGGCATTGGAAAGCGATGGTTCGGAGATTGAAAGTGTCGAAAGACCTCTCTCGGTCTAACGACGTGCTCGCATGTCTTACACACGAAGACTGGGTCTGTCGAAGGTTGGTGAAAAAATTGGGTTTGCATAATAAAGGTGTAGATATATATCGTACAATAGTGAATTGCATGAAATTTGACGAATGTCTAATGCTAACTTTGGGGTGAAATAGTGTAAAAGAAAAGTGAGACAATAGCTAGGAAGCTTTCAAACCCCCCTAAATTAATGGCTACCCCTCCTAATCATTATTGACTAGCATTATCGAGGTTGTTCTATTCGTCTAGAGTGCTGTGGTAGCGTCTTAGGTGCTAATCGTACACCGTAATGGTACACCCCAACAAAACATCTCTAATTTTTAATCGACATTTTCTCGATAACTAGTAGGCTGTGCATGCTCCGAAGCAAATGGGAGATATTTCACATAGTCTATTATAACTTATAAAAATTTGAGAACGATCGGAGTTCATTTGACCTCTGAACCCTGGCGAGGAAATTAACCTGAACTCAGGCGGGGCCCACTTTTTATGTCCCATAGTTAAGACAAAGCCCTAACCTGAACTCTGGCAGAGTTCACCCACCCCCGTGGGATAGGGGCCACCGGTACTGTTTTCGCTCCGCGGTAACTGCCACCCGCATTTTCGGTTCAAGCTCAAGGATGTTTGCCGCTAAGCGATCGCGTCGGTTGGCGATTGATTCTTCATCGGATGTGATCTCGTCTTCGGTGTCACACGCGGCCAACAGAACTTGTCGTCTGTGCCTCTTGCGGGGCCGGAGCATCCGTCCAGAATGTCGCAAGACCTCATATTCATCCAGGGCTTGGATCATTCGCATGCATAAGTCTTGCGCCACGGTGCCTTTAGCCTTGCGCTGGGCTTTCAACAACGACTCATCTCCAATTCTGATACCAAAGCGAAAGACAGTCTGCGGGGCTTTTCTCTTCCACGCTGGGGCATCGGGATTCTGGGAAAACTGATCGGCGATCTGTAACAATTTCTCATAGAATTCCCCTTCAGGCAGCCTAACCAGATCCATCTCCGGTTCCATGGCGTTCTCCATGTACTGAGATTCGCCAGACGAGCGGCCCCAGCCAGTCGTTGGATGGTGTTTGATATATTCGGCAGGGAAAGGGTCACCCCCTCGCGACACACCATACCATTGCCTGTAGTGTTCGTACAATCCGGCATTGAAGTTAGACCACCATACCTCCTGTCCTGTATCCTTAGACCTGCGCATAAATCCATTGCTATGTGGGTATGGAAGTAACCAGTGGCTTTGGAGGAATGAAGTCCTTAAGACTTTCTTCCACTCCCGCGCTCTATTCTTGCCCAGAATTTGGTGGAGAGCCTCGAAGCTTTGCTGGTATACCATACGATATGGCTTGTCCTTCCACCCCTTCCGATCAAAACGGCCATCTTTCCACTCCCATAGCCAAGCGAAGATAGTGTCCACGCTCTTTACCGCGATCCGACGCTGATCTAGAAGCTGTAACGGTTGGGCGCCCTCGATAAATACGCCGCTGATGCTGTCATAGCTAAGGGGAACCTCTCCTGCTAGAGCCCGAGAAGCATGGTCCGGGTGTAACAGTCGTTTGACCTGTAGAAACACGTCCTTACGAAACACACAAAGAGACAGTTGTCGTAGGAAGTCCGCGAGAAGATCGAGGCAAGGAGGAATGGAGCTAAATTCTTCCATCCAGCGGTGGGCCTGGTGCACCCGTAGGAAGTCTAGACGAACGTCTCGGATCTGCGCGTACCGTGCGTGGAACGCCGCCTGCATCGAAGGGCTGTTAAACATCATATATTGCGCGGACGGTTGTCGGAAGGTCATCGTATCCCAGTTGAGCTTATCCAGAAACCAGGCATATCCATATTTCTCCATGCTGCTTTGGAATCCGAGACCTTCACACCGGCGAAGGCCGTCCGTCCGCCGAGCATCAGGCTGGAACCAGACATCCCGCCAGCAGCCGGACACCCGCTGTAGAAGGCCACCCGCATAGGAAAATTGCAGGCAGCGCAGAAACATCATCATCACCCGAGTATGTTCCCACGTAACAAAATGGCGGTCATTGATGCTATAGACAGTCTCAAACCCCACGCAGAACTTGTTGATATTCCAGTGGAACCAGAAGAGGAGAGTGGAGGTAGGGAGGAGGGAGTAAAAAGGCTCAACTTCAGACGAAATCCCTGGAAGTTGTGCCTGGTGAAGGTTGCGCTCTCGGAATTCCTGATCGATCATATAGAACAGACGGAGGGAGATGCGGTGCTCTTCGCGAAGACCAAATACTTTCATATAAGATCCTTGCAAGGCAGCGTGGCACCGCTGTTTCATGTTCAGATATGCCCGGATCAACGCGATTGGGTCATGGCTGAGACCGCCCCCGACATACTGCCAGGTCTTACGAAGCTGAGGATCTAGTGCCAAGGTTTCTAGGGCCGGATTAGAAAAGGGATAAGCATCCCCTGCCGCAAAGACCTCCTTAACACTGGAATAAAACTGCGTGTAGAGGAGACCGGCCTGCCGCTGCGGTGAGGATGGACGCGTTTCTAATGTGAGGCTGCCAGTATCGTGGAGCAGACTAATGGGATAAAACTGCTGCTTTGGACGTGAGGATCCAGGAGGATGCTGCTGCCCGATCCACTCGGTATACGACTCTAGGCAACATCGCCGCCAGAGGATGGTCTGTGGCACCACTGGGCTTGCACGGAGCTCCCCGTCCGAATGGAGCCTAGATGCGTGAAGTCCAACACCACCAACCCGTGAGGGCCCAGTAGGACAGGTCTCTTTCCCAATGTCGATGTAGAATTGATCGGAGAGATAAGACTCGTCGATCGTGTTACCCCAATGCTGGGCAAACTCCTGCATCATACCGTTCCACGTATTTGCTTTGGTCAATGTCTTTAGGTTTTTACCCTGGACCAGGATAGTCACGTCTAGGAAGTGCTGGAACCCAGCACGCTGAACAGTCTCTAAGATATTCGCCCATACAAGCGGGAGTGCATCTGGTGGTAGGAAATAAAATAGACGCTGCTCTCGAGCTACCGGATCCACTCGCCGGGAGCGCATCTCGACTCCCCGGGCCGTGGCATTGAACCGGCTGTGATCAAAGCTAGAAGGATAGTGCTGGACTAGAGATCCCTCGCAGTGCTGGTAGATCGCAGGCAGGAGGACTTGATCCATCCAGACCCGAAAGTCATCATCCCGGAGCCGGCTGGACTGCTGCTCCTCCCGGTATAGTCGCGGAAACAGAAAGTAGAGAGAAATATCTTCAAATCCAATCAACCGCCCGAAGGTATAATGCGGGATGTTATGTACTGGTTGTTGGACGTGGTGGGTGCGGCCATTGCTTCCAGTATGGTGTACACGAAGGGGATCAAGGTGGAGACTCGAGTGAAGATCAGAGACGGGCATCTGAGTTGGGTTCCACCGCACGCCAAGTTTCGCTACCGCGAGGCTCTCCGCAAACCCCACGATACTATCAATGTCAAAGGTGACCCCGGTCGGGCGTTCTCTTTGATGATCCACAGCGAGGCAAATATGGGCGGGAGGAGCGTCAGGCGTGACTGAACTAATCCCGGTATAAATCTCACGCTTTCGTTCTGCACTAGTCTGTCCTGCTAGGTTGTCCTCGCGTCTGGCAATGGTCGTATCGCTGAGAACATCCGGAAAGCCCCCGTCGACCTGAACCTGGTCTATATATTCTCCTAAGCTGATATGCTCGGCGTGCTTGAGTTCGTGCTCACTCTCCTGCTGCGTATGGCACTGGTAGCAGCAACCATGGTGTTGCTGGAGCTGATCAGCAAGTAGTCGGGCGAAGTCGCACATGACATTGGCCACGTTAGGTTCTAGTGTTTCCGGTTGTGCAGATGCCAAACGTTGTAGAGGCGGATCCACCTGCAACGAAGTCTCTGTGGTTTCTAACCTGGGGCTACGCTGATCAGGCCATGTTGGTTGGGTTTCCGGAGATATCGCCCGAAATGGCTCATCAGTTAGGTCAGTGGGCGGAGCTAACGGCCACTCATCGCTTGTAGGCGGGTTGTTATCTGTAGATAAGTCTAGTGGTCTAAGTCCTAGGCTGAGGGGCGGTAGGAGCTGCTCAATGTCCGTAGGAATCGTTAGTTCGCCGGGGGGAAAGTAGGTTGGCAAAGCTTCATCGACATAAACGGATGCTGGTATTGTAGTGGGATAATACCGGTCGAATTCTATCGCACGCTCCACAGCACGACCAGATTGTCGCTGGTTTCGCTGTGCTATGATCTTAGCCTCTTGTCTTTGCTCGGCGGATGCATACTTCCGAGGCCGCCCTCGTTTGCGCGTAGGGGCTCGAGGGGAGTCGGGCGCCATAATACTAAAGAAGAACTAGAGTAAGAGCGATGGTAAGCAGATATCGAGCTTACTAGAGTCGAGCCCCAAAATAAGGGGTCAATGACATAAGCATGGAGGGCGGTTCTGATCTATCGAGGCGGTTTATGATCCCTCATATAAATATTGCTTATGGTCCCAAATAGGCTTAGTTTTGAGGAAATAAATCAAAAAGGGTTTAGTTTTGAGGACAAAAACATGAAGCACGATTATGTAACCGTTTTCCCTTCAAAGCTCCAAAAATGGCCAACTTCGATGGGTTGTAACTCCGTGACCGTATAAGTTAAAAGAATTCTGATTGAAGAAATAAAGTGGACTAAGCCCACTGCTCCGTATTGGGGCTTTATTGAGTTAAAAAAGGGCTATGTGGTTGTTGGTCGACTTCCGTTTTCTGCTACTGGTAAAGGTGACCCCGGTCGGGCGTTCTCTTTGATGATCCACAGCGAGGCAAATATGGGCGGGAGGAGCGTCAGGCGTGACTGAACTAATCCCGGTATAAATCTCACGCTTTCGTTCTGCACTAGTCTGTCCTGCTAGGTTGTCCTCGCGTCTGGCAATGGTCGTATCGCTGAGAACATCCGGAAAGCCCCCGTCGACCTGAACCTGGTCTATATATTCTCCTAAGCTGATATGCTCGGCGTGCTTGAGTTCGTGCTCACTCTCCTGCTGCGTATGGCACTGGTAGCAGCAACCATGGTGTTGCTGGAGCTGATCAGCAAGTAGTCGGGCGAAGTCGCACATGACATTGGCCACGTTAGGTTCTAGTGTTTCCGGTTGTGCAGATGCCAAACGTTGTAGAGGCGGATCCACCTGCAACGAAGTCTCTGTGGTTTCTAACCTGGGGCTACGCTGATCAGGCCATGTTGGTTGGGTTTCCGGAGATATCGCCCGAAATGGCTCATCAGTTAGGTCAGTGGGCGGAGCTAACGGCCACTCATCGCTTGTAGGCGGGTTGTTATCTGTAGATAAGTCTAGTGGTCTAAGTCCTAGGCTGAGGGGCGGTAGGAGCTGCTCAATGTCCGTAGGAATCGTTAGTTCGCCGGGGGGAAAGTAGGTTGGCAAAGCTTCATCGACATAAACGGATGCTGGTATTGTAGTGGGATAATACCGGTCGAATTCTATCGCACGCTCCACAGCACGACCAGATTGTCGCTGGTTTCGCTGTGCTATGATCTTAGCCTCTTGTCTTTGCTCGGCGGATGCATACTTCCGAGGCCGCCCTCGTTTGCGCGTAGGGGCTCGAGGGGAGTCGGGCGCCATAATACTAAAGAAGAACTAGAGTAAGAGCGATGGTAAGCAGATATCGAGCTTACTAGAGTCGAGCCCCAAAATAAGGGGTCAATGACATAAGCATGGAGGGCGGTTCTGATCTATCGAGGCGGTTTATGATCCCTCATATAAATATTGCTTATGGTCCCAAATAGGCTTAGTTTTGAGGAAATAAATCAAAAAGGGTTTAGTTTTGAGGACAAAAACATGAAGCACGATTATGTAACCGTTTTCCCTTCAAAGCTCCAAAAATGGCCAACTTCGATGGGTTGTAACTCCGTGACCGTATAAGTTAAAAGAATTCTGATTGAAGAAATAAAGTGGACTAAGCCCACTGCTCCGTATTGGGGCTTTATTGAGTTAAAAAGGGCTATGTGGTTGTTGGTCGACTTCCGTTTTCTGCTACTGGTAAAGGTGACCCCGGTCGGGCGTTCTCTTTGATGATCCACAGCGAGGCAAATATGGGCGGGAGGAGCGTCAGGCGTGACTGAACTAATCCCGGTATAAATCTCACGCTTTCGTTCTGCACTAGTCTGTCCTGCTAGGTTGTCCTCGCGTCTGGCAATGGTCGTATCGCTGAGAACATCCGGAAAGCCCCCGTCGACCTGAACCTGGTCTATATATTCTCCTAAGCTGATATGCTCGGCGTGCTTGAGTTCGTGCTCACTCTCCTGCTGCGTATGGCACTGGTAGCAGCAACCATGGTGTTGCTGGAGCTGATCAGCAAGTAGTCGGGCGAAGTCGCACATGACATTGGCCACGTTAGGTTCTAGTGTTTCCGGTTGTGCAGATGCCAAACGTTGTAGAGGCGGATCCACCTGCAACGAAGTCTCTGTGGTTTCTAACCTGGGGCTACGCTGATCAGGCCATGTTGGTTGGGTTTCCGGAGATATCGCCCGAAATGGCTCATCAGTTAGGTCAGTGGGCGGAGCTAACGGCCACTCATCGCTTGTAGGCGGGTTGTTATCTGTAGATAAGTCTAGTGGTCTAAGTCCTAGGCTGAGGGGCGGTAGGAGCTGCTCAATGTCCGTAGGAATCGTTAGTTCGCCGGGGGAAAGTAGGTTGGCAAAGCTTCATCGACATAAACGGATGCTGGTATTGTAGTGGGATAATACCGGTCGAATTCTATCGCACGCTCCACAGCACGACCAGATTGTCGCTGGTTTCGCTGTGCTATGATCTTAGCCTCTTGTCTTTGCTCGGCGGATGCATACTTCCGAGGCCGCCCTCGTTTGCGCGTAGGGGCTCGAGGGGAGTCGGGCGCCATAATACTAAAGAAGAACTAGAGTAAGAGCGATGGTAAGCAGATATCGAGCTTACTAGAGTCGAGCCCCAAAATAAGGGGTCAATGACATAAGCATGGAGGGCGGTTCTGATCTATCGAGGCGGTTTATGATCCCTCATATAAATATTGCTTATGGTCCCAAATAGGCTTAGTTTTGAGGAAATAAATCAAAAAGGGTTTAGTTTTGAGGACAAAAACATGAAGCACGATTATGTAACCGTTTTCCCTTCAAAGCTCCAAAAATGGCCAACTTCGATGGGTTGTAACTCCGTGACCGTATAAGTTAAAAGAATTCTGATTGAAGAAATAAAGTGGACTAAGCCCACTGCTCCGTATTGGGGCTTTATTGAGTTAAAAAAGGGCTATGTGGTTGTTGGTCGACTTCCGTTTTCTGCTACTGGTAGCTACCCCCGTGGGATAGAGTGCTGTGGTGGCGTCTTTGGTAGTAAAGGTACGCCGTAAAGGTACAAAATGCCGTACCCCAACAAAACATCTCTAATATTGAATCGCCATTTTCTCGATAACTAGGAGGCTACGCATGCTCCGAAGTGAATCGGAGATAAATTACATTGTCTATTAAAACTTGCCAAAATTTGAGAGCGATCGGAGGTCATTAGACCTCACCAGTCTAACGAGGAAATTAATTCCCAGTCTAACGGGACCCACTTTTTATGTCCCATAAACCCTAGTAGTTAAGAGGAAACCATAATTCCCAGTCTAGTAGACTGGGCCACCCCCGTGGGATAGGGTGTCGTGTATATCCTTTACACGCGTAATCGGAGTTTTTATAAGGGCATTCTATTAGGTCGTCGCCGTCCTCTTCGATCGCTACGATAAGGTGCTAGTCTAACTAGTCGGCCCGAATCTTATCTATAAGATTAGCTATAAGCTCGTCGGCTTCTTTATCACTCTTATTGTCATAGTGATAGTTCCTAGGACTTTCGATAGGTGTTTCTAGAATCTCGTGTTCCGTTCCTAGGAGCTCGTGTCCCCTTCCTAGGAGTGTGGATCCGGATCCTAGGTTATAAGTGATTCCTAGGAACTTATTAGGTGTTCCTAGAAGCCCTATGCCCTACTCCTAGGTGCTCTAGACCGTTCCTAGGAGCGTATTGCCTCGCTCCTAAGACATATACTATGTCTAGCCTTAGCTTTCGACGGTGTTAAGGTCTACCTCGGGGAACCTAACCTCCTCTCCTAGGAGCTTCTTATCTACTCCCTAGGTTTCTAAGAGTCGTTCCCGGAGCCTTTCGCTCTAATCCCGGTCGCGTTAGGATTCCTAGGTCGCACGTAGTTCTTCGCGTGTCGCCCGTAACTATGGTCGTTTGTCGTACGACTTCTTTTACTTACATTCTCTCGCGCGGTGTCCTAGTTTCCCGTAGTTAAAGCAAAGATTCTTTTTCTTCCGCTCGTCTTATTCTTTACGAGTGGCGTCTAGTTCTATAGGTTTTAGTCTATATAGATCGTCGTCCCGAGCGGGCCGTCGATAGTCCCGTCGGTTTAATTGGTAGCGGGTGAACCCGTGCGACTTTCCTTTTTTCTACTAGTCTATTTCCTAACGTTTATATCGTCGCTCGCTATTACGGTTATCGATTTTGATAGCGACCTTGATAAGTTAATCTAGGGTGTTAGGTCGGTCAATCCTCGCTAGTTCGTCCTTAACGTCGGACTTTAGTCCGGCTTCAAAGTACGGGATATACGCTCGGTCGGGTAGATCTAGATATAAAATAATCTATAGGAATTCTAAGGCGTATACTAAGGCGCTATAGTGTTAACGGATTCGTTATAATTTTCGTTCAGCCGTTCTTACCGCGTCGATGTCCCCGAATATATTCTCGAGGTGCTAGCGGAAGTTGCTATAATAGGTAAAGATGTCGATAGTGGTTATTAACCATGCTTCACGAGGTTTGCTATAGTAATCCCTAATATACGGCTCGAACTAGTCCTATGCTTGTCCGCGTAGGTAGGTAGACATAAAGACCACCTTACTAGCTTCACTAGCAAGCCGGTTAGCGTTTATATCAATATATATGTCTATCTAAGTGAGGAATCCTCGAAGCTTAGATCGGTTTCCCTCGAAGCACTTAGCCTTAGGCAATCGAAGCCCTTAGATTGCATTAGATAGTGCGGAGGCTGCGACTTAAGCGTGCATCTATGCTAAATAGTCGTCGACATTTTTATCGTGCTCTAGTTTAGCCTTAAGCTATTCGGTCAAGAAGACCACTTGCTCTCTTAAGTCCTTGATACTATTGTCTCTTTTAGTGTCGGAATTAACGTCTTCCGGTTCCGGCTTAACGACCTTAGTCGCTAGCTTCTTGCTGCTGCTAACTTAAGACATCTTTGCTTATGACTCGAACTTGATTCGAGACGGTGTTCAATATGTTACGCACGACTAACGGGTCGTCGCTATGTTAGAAGTTTCCTAGGTTATACTTACCTAAATGCTTCTCTGCTTCTAACGTTAACGATCTATCTCTTAACCGTACCGTTGCCTAACAGGCCTTATACGGGCTAAGTCCTTTTAAGGGTATCGAGGAGCGATGCCAGATAGAGCGCCGAACTAACCTATACCGAAGTATGGGTCTATTCGTAGTGTTGTCAAGTTATAATTAAGTTATACGAGTCACCAAAGGTTCTAAACAGTAGACATAAGTAACAATATATAATTAGGGGATTGATACTACCACCCCCTTTGGATGCTACCACCCCCCTGCCTGAATTCTTAGGCCAGTATTTTTTCTGCCGGACATATTTCTGCCACCACCGACCATGCATGAGGTACTTACATTTACTATGCAACCCCATAATTAAATGAAGTCACTTTCGTACTCTACCACCACCATGCCAACTGCACGGCGCTAGTCCCAAATAGGAAATAGATGCTGTTTTCAAAAACTCTGTAGAAATGAAGGAATTGGCCTATGCAGCGGCCGGTCGCCATTTTACGTTGAATTCTTTAAAAAGTTGCATGAGAACAGTGAAGAAATTGAGTAATTTGCATTGGATTGGCCATTTATGGAGCTCCCCGACGCTTCCTGAGGCGATCAGACCAGGAATCTTCGTCCTGAGATGCCCATGAAGCTATTCCCGACCCCTGAGATGTAGCCATGCTCGGCAGCGATGCCTGCTGGGTCCCTCCACGGCCACGGCCAACTTTCTGAGAAGCTTGTTGAGCTTCCTGGGCCAGAGATGAAGCTATTCCCACCATGGTATCACCCTGCGAGGCTTGTTGTCTTCCTCCACGTCCGCGGGCCCGTCCGCGGGCCCGTCCACGGCCCCGTCCACCTTCCTGAGAAGCTTGTTGAGCTTCCTGGGCCGTAGATGAAGCTATTCCCACCCCGTTATGTCCCTGCGATGCCTGTTGTGTCCCTCCACGTCCTCTGCCACGTCCTCGGCCGCGTCCACGGCCGTGTCTACCTTCCTGAGATAGCATGAGCTCAAAGCCGGAGGGGTCTCGCTGGGTGGAGGTGTCTTGGGTGCTTGCTTGGGTGCTTTCGCCGCCGCCGATGAAGTTCCTAGCGCCTCGGGGGCGTCCTCGCCGGCGCACTTGGAGCGGATCCTGGAGTAGGAGTAGCGGGTTAATAGGAGGTGCAGATACACTGTACAAATGCCAGTGTTGATGAAATAACTCAGGCTCAAAGCTCTTCTCCTCTTCTTCGTACTGCATTATAAGATGAATGCATGGGAACCCTGCCGTATTCTTCGAATTACAGCGGCAAAGTGGAGGAATCGGCGGCTTCTCATCGCTTGCTGGTCGATAGCGGTTGTAGACGTCTATTGTAAGCTCTATCACCTTGGCCGAAATTCGTCCAACAACTAGCCTAAATAGCTGCTTCCAGCGAGTATCGGTAGACCTCCTGATCTTATCATTCTCGATCGTATCGGTGACCTTCTTGAATTGAAGCTTCACAGCATTCTCAAAGGTGCGGAGAACAACCAGTAGATCATTAGTCGAGACTTGAAGGTCCTGCTTAAGCAGCCAGTGAGCGCCCTCGGTCCGAGAGGTCGAAATCTCGTTAAGATGAAGGTATTCGGAGGTGTATTCATGAAGGAAATACTCGGGGCACTCGTCTAGCCATTCACTCTGTAGATACTCGAGTAAAGGCTCAAAAATCGGCTCTTTGTAGCATTCTTGAAGCTGTCTCCATCTCTCCTGTCTCTCTTCCGTAGTGATAGCGTAGACGACACGAATCCACCGCTTTAGCATCGTCTTCCATGCTTCATGGACTATTTCTCGAAGCTCTCGGTCTCTCTCCGCCTTCGTCCGACGCTGTGAGGAAGCAGCTTCAGTCTCTTGCCGAGCTTTTGCTAGCTGCTCTGCGAGAATCGGGCGAGCTTTCTTCATAATATTCATGTTGATATGCCATAGACAGATCATATGCTTTGTAGAAGGGAAGACGACCTTCACAGCATTCATTAGCGCTTGCTCCTTATCGGTAAGGATAGTCTGGGGTGCTTGAAGGCTAAGAGCTTCGTAAGCGTCTGCTAGACAGCTTAAAATGACTTCGTAGCTATCATCTTTCTCGTCTTTGATAAAGGCGAAGGCGACGTAAAAGGTTGAGCCCGTAGCAGTGAAGCCGACGATATCGAGCATTGGAAGGCCGTACCGGTTAGTTTTGTATGTACAGTCTATTGAAATAACCCATGAATTTGTCTTAAGCAATGCTATACTCGTCTTATGCATACAAAAGAGGGCTGTGACATGATTCTCATCGTCAACTTCATGCCTAAAGATCCATTCGCCGTCGCGCGGAAGCTCTATCAAGAGGGCTTGAAGCGGCGTACGTCCGGCAAGGAACTCAATATGAAGCTTCCTCCGAAGGTTGTAGATGTCTCGGGCTATAAGACATGACTCTTCATCCTCCTTTCGAATGCTAGTGAGGATATGACGCGTAGAAAGACCCTGTTGGAGCTGCTTTTCAATCACCGGCACCTTTGTAGATAGCTCCTGCTTCCGTTGAGCGACATGGGTAAATAGAGGCGAAGGCTCATGGTTGTGGGCAGAGTTCTCTACTGTAAGACGCCATGTATTGCTCTCTTGTAGCCGTAGAGAGATCGAGAATGGGCACTCAATCGCGA